TCTTCTTATGTGTGGCTCAAAGGGGATATATTTTATTCAAGGCTTAAATAATTGTGTAAAGAATGATCACTTATATGGGGCCGGCCTGGTGGCGCACTCGGTAGAGTGTGGCGCTTGGGAGCACGGCAGCGCTCCCGCCGAGGGTTCGGATCCCATATAGAGACCGGTCCGCTCACTGGTTGAGCGCGGTGCGGGCACGACACCGAGGGTTGCGATCCCGTTGCCGGTCGTGGTACGGGCACAACACTGAGGGTTGCAATCCCGTTACCGGTCACGAAAAAAGACAAAAAGGAAAAAAAAAAGATCACTTATATATATGAAACAAAAAACCCCAACAGTGAGAGGGCAGCTATTAGCAGAGATAGGATGGGACAAGCAAGCCTGTCAGTACCTTCTGGCCTCAGTTTTATCATTGAAGTTTCATTTTCTTCTTGAGAAAATTCAGCACCTTCCCATTTGCAAGAAAGTTTTTGATGGATCTAGACATTTCTCAACACTCAAGGATAATTTTTTTTTTTTGGACCTTACCCTATATTTAGCACCAACAAATCAGGTGAAGACCAAAATTGTATAAATTTTACATGTCAGATAGAAGAATAGTAAAATGAAGTGTTTCAAGATAAAAGAAAGTGTAAGTAAAGGAATGTAAATTGATTTATGGCTGTGAATAGGGCCAAGTCGTTAGAATAAAGAAATAGTAACCTGAAAGTATTTATTCTAAGCCCCTGCTCCTTAAGCAGGGAGTCAAGAATAGTCTCCGAATTCTAGTTCAAGTCCCTATTTCACCAACACGTTGTCTCTCCTCCCAAAATAATTTTCTCACTTGCAGAACTTCTCAATTAATGAGGAAATCGAACATGGGGTGGAGGAAGTGTGGGATTCCTCTCTAATTATTAGACATCTTACCCTACCCCTTAGTAACCAGAATTTTGTAGATTAATTGTCCTGGTTATAATGACCAGAAAACAGCATTGCATTTCAGAAGTGTGTACGGATGGCCAGTGTTCAAGGAAATCTCTTGATTCCAGTGGGGAGGGGTTGTAGAGTTCCAGACTGGACTATGGATTATAGCCCATCATGTGGTGCCTCTTCTGAGGCCCCTAGACAGCATTGGGCCATATCTGCCAGACCCTCACCCAGGACACCCAGGACCAGAGCATCCACCCCATGGCTGAAGGAGCACAGCCAGGACCAGTCTTTGAGATCTGAAGTAAAGAAGTGAATCCTGTCCCAGAGGATGGCTGGCATCCTAATGAGAGAGGCATTCTAAAGCTTTAAAAGCCCAGGGCTAGGATGTGCATTTCTGGTGGGCGCTTAGGAGACTCCCAGCTATCATCAAGCTCAGAGGTCTGTTGTTGATGATTAGGAAAGCCCAGTCACCAGGGATCTGTACTCTAGAATCATCAACCAATCTGGGAAGGCTCATTGGGTACACATAGGGTCACGGGAATAATTGGCTGGAGCCATCTGAGTCCCAAACCCAGAGTGTTTATCCAAGCTAAGGCAGAACAGGTGATGTCCAGTTGGCAGAAGATCAGGAGGCTTCCATGAGTAATAGAGGCTTCTCCTCTCCATGGTCTTTTTCTTCCATTCCACAAACAGGTAGATGCTGGGGAGGCAAATTTCTTTAAGGTCCTCTCAAAAGGAGGTTGAAAAAAGTGATTGCAACCCAGTATCAGAGGATGATGACAGAGAGATGTACACAGTGCCTTAATAGCATGAGGCTGCGGCAATGAGCACTGTCTGTGTTGGTCAAAAGCAACAGGTAGAGACTGAGCTGAGTCTTGAAGAATGAGGAGGAGTTTGCCCGTGTAGACAATGAGTGTCCCAAGCAGATGGAATATGTATAAAGGCTGAGAGAGCAGAACTCAAAGGGGTTGCTTTCGACAGGAGGGCCCCCACCCCGTCTTCTACTGACCTCTTCCTCCTCTCCCAGCTCCTCACCCTTCCTCTATGGGCTGCATGAAATGCTTGCTCCTCCCCAAGCACAGCCGAGGATGTGCTTTCTTCCCTGGTCTTTCTCACAAGTTTTACCCGTCCATCAAGATCCAGACTAAAGGCCATCCCCTCTTCAGAGCCTGCACAGGCAGAGAGAGCCATTCATTCCCTTGTCTGTGTTCCCAAAGCACAGACCCCAACTGCAGCACTTGTCACAACATATTACATTTTAATTTGACTGTGCTAGAATAGTACTCAGCAGTAAGTTATTTTTGCTACTTAATAAGAAATACAAAATCCCCTGCTGCTGCTTATCCCAAATACTATCTCAAATCAGCCACAGTAGAGTTTGAGATTGGCACATGAAAATATAGTTATAATGAATATCCATCGTATGTGGAAAGATCCAGGATTGGATTACTGTCTTTCAACTCCTTGTACGGTGCCTTTTATAAAATCCTAAAGCAGTCTGTGTTCTTCAAAAAAGGACAAAGATAACGTAATAAATGCCTGTGATTTCTCCACATAAAATGAGCAAATCTTAACACGTTTTCACATTTGTTTTAGTTTTTTTTTAAGAAATAAGTGTATGTGTGTGTGCAGCTGTGTGTGTGTGTATGTGTGAATATATTCACGTAAATTATCTACTGATGGATATTGGGGTTAGTTATAATTTTTTTCTCTTTTAACAGTGCAACAATGGCCATCCTTCTACAAGATCCTCCCATACATTTCCTTGTTTGCACTGAAGAATATACCTAAAAATAGAGCTCCTGGTTATAGAAAATGCTTATCTCTAACCTCATTAGGTATTGCCAAATTGCTCTCCAAAGTAGTCATATCAATTTCCACATCTACTAGCAATGTCTGAGCACTAATTTAGCCTGTATTATCACCAGCACTTAGTATTGTCAGACATTTTAATTTTTGCCAATCTAAAGAATATTAAGTGGTATTTCACAGTTATTTAAATATGCACATCTGTACTTACTAAAGTAGTTGAATATTTTTCCGTATGCCAATTTGCTGTCCTTCGAGGGATTGCCTGATCTCATCCTTTGTCTATTTTTTTATTGTTTGCCTTTTTAATATTTACTTGTGCCAATTACTTACATATCCTGGACTCTAATCTTTTGCCTGTTATGTTTGTTGTGAACATTTTCTCTCATTCTTTCTTATCTTTTAATTTGTTTAAGGTGTCTTTTTGTCATTCAGAAATTTAGACACTTCTGGTAGTCAGAATTATCCTTTTCTAAAGAAACAATTTCTACTTTCCATATCTGCTTTAAGAAACCCTTCAAGGACCTGAGGACATAAAAATCTTCTATAACTCACCCAACAGATTTCAAGTATTGTTTTTCCCATTAGTTTTTTAATACATCTACGGTTACATTTGGTATAAGATAGCAATCTAATTTTTTTCAGTGAGAAATCCATTTGTCACAGCATCATTTACTGAAGGGTTTATTCTCTCTCCCCAATTTGAATCACCTCTTTCACTATAGCCAGATCTCACATAGGTTGAGGTTTGGGCTCCCAAGTCTATGCCATTGACTGCTCTTATGTCATGTGTCAGATATATAGTGTCATTATATCTGATAGGACAAGCTCTCTAGCCATGTTATTCTTTTTTCAGAATTGCCTTCATTACTTTTAGACCTTTATCTTCATTGTATTTTTAAAGTCAGTTTTAAAAACAAATCCTTTCAGAATTTTTTCTAAAATCGAAGGTACACATTAACTTGGGGAGAGTATATCCTTGTGATAGAGAATCTTTGTGTGACCATTACATATCATATCACTTTTGTATAGGCTGAACAAACATATCATTTCTAGATAAGGCACAGGGAAAAATAAATTCTCATTGAGATGGAATACACCCAACTGGAATGAGAATTCTTAGGAATATCGTACCAATGAAAAGGAAGGAAATCTGCTTAAATAGCTTGAAACAAGGGTGTGTGTATATATATATATATATATATAGTAACAAATAACTCTAGAATTAAAATTGAAAATGAGTGCATAAAAAAATAAAAGTAATCAGAAGCCAGTGGAAAACGTTTGCAATACAAAATGTCAGAGCAGAAGGAGCAAACTCTAATTTAGTTACTAGCAGACAGGCAGAGCTCAGCTGAAACAGACCCTGAAGTGGAAGGGAGGAGGCATCGCAGCTACAGAAGAGTGGGTTCGAGTAGAAAAAACTAATGTGAACTCACTGCAACAGACTGAGTACCAGCACTGTGAAAAATACTTATAAGCTGAATTGAAGCTGTACGAAATGGTACCAGTATAACAAAAGTCAAACTTGGGAAATAAAGACACCCCTTTCAAATCTAAAATTCCATGATTCCATATGTCCCAGAGAAACAGTTTCTCTCTTTTTTTCAGTGAGGACTCCTTTTTTAATATAAAGACTGTACAGTTTTTCTTCTTTTGTTTATAAATATGGCATTACATTGCATCAACTACGTTAGATTTCCTTAAATGTTAAACCATCAGTACATGCCTGAAATAAACTCTACCAATTAATCATTATTCTTTTGGATTTCTGCTGAATTTGTTTTGCTAATATTTTATTTAGGGATTTTGCACCTATACTTACAAATGAAATTCGACTCTGGGGGCAGGGGTTGTTTGTCTTTGTCTGTTTTGTCTGTTTATACTAATTTCATTTAAATGAATTGGAATACTTTTTCTTCCTTAATCAGACATATGATTTAAATAGCACAAAAATAACTGGATCTTAAAGATTTGAAACTAATCTGTATATCTGTTTGGGCCCAGGGTTTGGGTTTGTTGGTTTGTTTTTCAGTATATGAGTGTATGGAGTGGGGTGGTGGCAGTGGGAGGTAGAGTAGGGGGAGTTCTTTAACAAAATTTTTAAGAACTCTAACAAAAATTCTAAACACCCTTTCAAATAATTTCAAAAGTTATAGAAGTTTCAGGTAATGAGCCACATTAATAGGCCAAATGTAACATAATATAATGTGAAGAGAAATAATACAAGGTAAAGACAAGTGATGGCCTGAGTCAAGCAACATCTGCTTTTGTTTTCCTAGATCAGGAAGTGTGCTGCACCACTGGAATGAAATCTACTATTTTGTGGAACAGCTGGCTCATAAATTCATCAGGTGAGAAACATTCTGCATTTGCTTTCTGTGTAGTTCTCCACCATGAGTAAAACCAGCCCATGTCTGCTACTAATTACTAACTACTTTGACTTTGTGGAACAGCTGGCTCATAAATTCATCAGGTGAGAAACATTCTGCATTTGCTTTCCGTGTAGTTCTCCACCATGAGTAAAACCAGCCCATGTCTGCTACTAATTACTAACTACTTTGAGGATGCTTTTTGACAAAGGTGGACTCTCAGATCTTGGACCAGAGACTGTTTACTTTGTTTTAATCTTTGCCACATATTAGAATAACTCTTGGCATTTGTTATCACGAGGAGCCAGATTTGGTTATAAGACCAAAATTTTTAATGTTCTCCCTCCCTTGTTGAATAATATATTTTTATCAGAGGATCATTAACATTTTTCTTATACAGTACATGACACTGGGTCACTTGGCACATTCCAGCTGGACTCACGTGTAGGGTGTATAGCGATTAGGGTGACCAACTTATCTTGGTTTGCCCAGAATGTTCCCTGTTTTAGCACTGGAAGTCTCATATCCTGGGAACCCTCCTTTGTCCTGAGCAAACTGTGATGGTTGATCACTCTAGCTATGTGCCCTGTCATGTAGAACCCTTGAGCATTCTCAACACTGCTCTCCCAGGCAAGGCAATGCACTTTTGAACATAGTCACTGTAGATATTGTGGGAGTCCTGGAGGGACTACTTTCTAGTAAGTATGGACACCCATTAGTAAAGAAGAGGGGGTCATTTCACCCTCCCTGTGTGCAGCCTACAAGGGATAACACAACTGTGACAGCTTTCATGGCTGTGCCTGAAGCAAGTTGTCAAGGTCTTTGGTAAAACTGGTCTGATCATTGTAAATTCTAACACAGCTCCACTTCATGCTGGGTGGCCTCCATAAAGTCTTCCAGTTGATATGAGTGACCATAAAGTTCTTCTTTGTATAAAGTTCTTTATCTCAGAATACAGTTTATCCTCCAAGCCCAGAGTAATTACAGGAATGTTCCCTCCAAATTCAGTTATCTGTCTCAACACCAATTGGAGACTCAGCTGCCTAACTAAGGGAAAGGGTTAGGAGGTGGCTTCACTGCAATGCCAAAAATCAGAACCTACAGTAAGAAGTATTTAAACCCAAATGACTGGGGAAACAGATGCTGAGAGGAGAAAGGGGAAGAAAAAAGTACAAGGAAAGGAGAGAAACAAATACATGGGTGGTGCTAAAAAATTTTTACAAGGATCGTAGAAACTTAGAATTGAAAGGAACAACTTCCCAACCTATCCTAGGAGGCATTCAGTAACTCAGCTTGAATGGCTCTGGTGAGAAACTGCTGCTTTTTGAGGCAAACAGTCCAGTAGTTGGAAAATTCCAGTTTTCAGAAAAGTCTTTTTGTCACTGAGCCAAAATGTCCTTTCCTGCACCCTCATGCATTGGTCCATTGGAGTGATAGAAAACGTACCTGCCTGCAGATGCTTGACGGTACCTGCTCTGTCTCTATGTGCTCTTCTCGTCTTCTGTTCCCTCCAAAGCACAGGAGTCTAGTGGAAAAGGCTTTGAAGTCAGGCAGATGTGGTTTGAACCCAAGCTCCATTGAGCAACCACGGCAATTGCTTACCTTGACTGGACCCTAGTTTACATGTGAGGATTATAAAAAGAAAGCATGTGCAAACCAGCTAGCCCAGCACCTGGCTTAGAGTGGCCACCACAGCTCTCTTTCCCAGTTCCTTCAGTAGTTTCAGACTCTTTCCCACCCTAGAGTCGAAGAAAGTTAAAAGATTAGGGAACTAAGAGAACACTTAATCCAGTCCTCTTGCTTTATAGAAGAAGAAACGGAGGCCCAGAGAACGGAGGCATGACTTAATCCTGACCTTGAGGCACTTTCCTCTGGTTGTCCCTTTGGGCTACTTGGCTAATGAACCCCTCAAAGCACAGCACCAAGATATCACCATCATGCAAACTGTGTGAGGCAGGGACTGTATTTTGTTGATTGCCGCAGCCCAGGTGCCCATAACAGTGTCAGACACACAGTACATGCTCAATCAGTATTTTTGAATAAGTGAATGGATGGATGATTTTTATTATTTACTTGTTTTAATAAATAGTCTGAGGTATCTGGTACTGCAAGGTGGAAATTTATTCAGCAACAGCGGTTGAAGCCAGTACATGTGCCTCATTGCTAATTTCAGCAGAATACTTCACATTTCCCAGTTTTCCTAATAATGATTCTAATTCTTCCCCACTTTCCTCAAGCCCCAACCCACACCTCACATCCATCACTCTCAGCAGAGAGCCTCACCTCCTACTTCACCAAAAATCTGAGAAAAGCAGACAAGAGTGCTGACCACAAGTTCTAGTCCTCCTCCTAAAAGATGCATGTATGTCCTTCCCACCAGTCTCTGATGTCCAAGTATTCCTCCTATTTAAGACCAACCTCTCCATTTTAGTCCCATTTTATCCCATTGTCTCCAGTCTCCTCCAGGTCTTTGTTTCTCTCTTGTGTTTTCCTCTCCCTTTCTCTTGGCTCCTTCCCCACAGTCCACAGACATAAACTAACCTCTCCTGTTCCTTGTCCCAAATTGATGATGACAACAAATCTCCCGATCATGCTTTCCTATAGATACTACCCTATTTCTTTACTGGTTTCTCACTAAAATATCTGTAAAGACTTATTGCCTCCATATCCTTACTTCTCATTCATTCCTTCACCCACTTCCTTCTGGCTCTATCCCCACCCTCCACCTGCTAGCTCTCACCAAAGCCACTAAGGATGTCCTGCAGGACAAATCCAGTGAGCACCTTGCAGTCCTGTTTGCTGCACCAAGGGGCTTCATCCAATACAGACTTCTCTCTCCTTGAAACTCTCTCCTCCACTGGCCTCTGCTTCTCCTTCCTCTCACTCACTGCCCTTAGCCAGACCTTTAAATGTGGTTCTGGTTCTACATCTGGCTCACTTACCTTCTCGCTGCTGACACTTTCTCTGAACAGCTTTGCCCACATCAGTACGCCCATGACTCCCAAATTATGTCTCTAGCCTAGACTCATTACCAGTTGCCTCTTGGAGACCTACATTTCCCATGTTTCAAATTCATTCTTTCCCAAGCTCAACTTGATAGAAGGAAGGCAGTATAATGTAGTGGTTAAGAGCCCAAATTCTTAAATCAGAATGCTTGGTTTTAAGCCCCAGGTCTACCACTCCCCCGCTGTGTAACATAGGGAAAATTGCTTCACCTTTTAGGGCCTTAATTTCCTTTTATAGAAAATAGGAATAACAATAGTGATACCAGTCTCATAAAGTCTTTACAAATTTAATGAGATCATACATGCAAATCACTTGTGATAGTGCATGGCACATAGTAAGAACCCAATAAGGTTGGCCATTATTATATTAATTTCGATCATTATGATTGCTATTATTATCATTTAGGACATGGCGTCCTGCTGCCGCAGCACTGATCAAGTAGTAGCAGGCAGCATGGTGTATAGACAGAGAACCGAGGTCTGTTTTAAGACACCAATATTCAATTCACTAGGAATTGCTTGGGATCCTACCAAGCATTAAACACCATGCTAAGGGTTTCCAAAGATTCATCAGACATATGGTAATGAATGTACACTTTATCCTGGAGGTAGTAGGAGCCATTGGAGGTTTTATAGCAGGTAAGTGACAAGATCTGATTTATATTTTAGGAAAATAATTCTGGGATCAGTGTGAAGAATGAATTGGAGCAGGGAATGGTGATAGGCAAGGACACCAGCTGGGAAGCAATTGCAGTGGTCAGATGATTGAGGCCAAGGTCCTAAGCTAAGGGATGGGAAGGGGGCAGATTTGGGAAATGTTTTGGGATGTGGGAACTACAAGGTTTGGAGCCAGATCAGGAGTGGGAAGTTGTTGCATTGTGAAGAAATAGATTGATGCTATAATGTGTGAACCAGTTGGCCGCCCAGAGAGAGCCCCACGGGATGGCATTCCATTGCTGAGTCCACTACAGTCTGATGGTGTATCTGGCAGACTGAGAAACAGGTCCTCAGCTGAGAGTTGTTCTGTCTCCCAGAGTTTTCCATTGACAATGCTGAGCCAATTTATTCATTAATAAAGAGAAATATATCACCAAGTGGAATTGATATTCTGCACCCAGTCAGCATATTCTCTTCTTATAGGATAACCTCTTTGGGAAGCCAAGCCCTGAGCCAATTTATTCATTAATAATGAGAAATATATCACCAAGTGGAATCGATATTCTGCACCCAGTCAGCATATTCTCTTCTTATAGGATAACCTCTTTGGGAAGCCAAG